TTTTTTTTTTTTTTTTTTGTACTGGGGATTGAACTCGGGTCCTTACGCTTGCATGGCAGGCCACCGAACCGCTGAGCTAAATCTCCGGCCTCCCTAAAAGATTCTTTCAAAAAAAAAATTCACTATGTAGATCAGGCTGTCCTTGAATATATAAGCCTCTTTCCTCAGACTCCTGAATGCTCGAATTATAATGGTTATTTTATAAATTAACTTACCTTATATATTCCAGTCCAATTAAAAAATACACAAAGAATGAAGTCAAAACCAACAGAACCTTCTTTGCTGAAGTATTCCATAGGACTGTGCTGATGCCATCTGCTAGTAAATCTTAGTTCTGTAAACAATATTGTTACAGAAATATCAATAGAAGTATGACTTTAGGTGTTAAAAAAATTAACTTACAAATAAACCTTTTTTACAAGTCTCAGTTTAAAAAAATCCCAGTTTTCATTTCTAATGAGGTAAATACTGGTAGACGTAACTCAGGACAGCTTTTCTTTGGGGTGGGGGATTCTGTGTAATTTGGGCCTCTTGGGAACTCTGGAGGTTTGAGAATAGCAGCTTTGAGGATTGTGCCACTCCTGAGTGCAGAGCAGCAGTGAATGCCCACACTTTGGAAAAAAGATAAAACATTTGTGTGATTTGATGGGAAACCAGAGTCTGCACACCTTCAAAAACTAGGCTGAGGATTTAGCTCAGTGGTGCTGCCCCTTGCCTCAAAAGTAGAAGGTCCAGAGTTTGATCCCCGGTACCAAAAACCCCAAAACAAACAAACCCCAAAAACAACAACAGCAAAAAATTGTTTCTATTTGTGTTCCGCTTCCTTGTAGTTCTTTTACTTGGTCTTTACAGCAAAGATTTTGAGTTTGTCTAAGTTAAAATATAGTGTTTGTTACCACTGGGATTTTTCTTTTCCATCCCTGAGTTTTAAGATGCACAATTTTGTAAAGTGTTCTTTCTGCTGTGCTCTACTGAAAAAAATCAGACAATCCCTAACCCTATACATAAAGCTTACTGTGGATATCATAAATAACATTTAACCCATATCTTCTTAATATAGGCTTTGTAGTTCCAGAAAAGGGTAAATTTCTTCGAAGTTAATTATTTGAAAATATAGTTCCACTAGTAAACCTGAGGAAATGTTCTTTAGACTTTGTAGTTCACCTTCGTATAGGCCTAATGAAGTTTTGGGTTACTTAAAAAGATATCCAGAGCCAACAAAAAACACCTGTTTGCATGGATACAAAGTTTGTGGGTATCTGGTACCTGCAAATTGAAGAGGATGAGGGCATCTAACTGGACCTCAGCATGCAGAGCTGTTACCCAACAAATAGGCCTGGCACTCAGCTAAAGCTCAGCATTGTACTATCTAGAGATAGTCATAAAGGACACTAAAAAAGCAAGCTTCCTCATCTATTCTTATCAAAATGGTTTTTGACTCATCTATTTCCTCATCTATTCTTATCAAGATGATTTAACTTGGCTTGAAGTTATAAATGTTTTATGAGCCTGTTTTACTCCCTGGGGGAATTGGGCAGCTCCAGGTGGTGAGCGAGCTGGGGAGAACTTGGGTGTCTTTCACTACTACTTTGAAGTTGGGTTTATGAAGGAGGTCAGAAGGGCTGACGCCTCTTTACTGTCCACTTTTGTGACACACCTTACTGGAAAGGTCACTGTTGGGTTCCCCTAATCCCCCAATTGGCTCTGCAAACAATTCGCAAATGTCCTACTCAGAGTTTATATGATCCAGAAACTTATGCTGAGGTTGTACATGCTTTTGCCAAACCTAACAGTGTAGGAAAATATTAGTAAGACTTCTTACACACATAGGAGAAATGATATTTTAGGGAATTTTGAGTTATTTAGTTGATATTCCATTTTTAGAGATGTTACAAAAAATTACTACTAGCAGCAAAAAAAGAGAATAATGCCCAAGATTATTCTCTGTTCATTTGTCTTTTCTCCCTCCCTCTTCTCCGTCTCCCTCTTTCCCTCTCTTTTTCACACTGGGGATTGAACAGGGACTTTTGCCCAGAGTGACACCTGCTGCCCACTTTTCTTTCTTTCTTTCCTTCTTTCTTTCCTTCTTTCCTTCCTTCTTTCCTTCCTTCCTTCCTTCCTTCTTTCTTTCTTTCTTCCTTTCTTCCTTTCCTTTCCTCTTCTCTCTCTCCCTTCCTTTTTCTTTCTCTTTCTCTCTCTTTCTCCCCACCCCCACCTTTCTTTTCCTGAGATGGATTTGCTAAGTTGCTTGAACTTGAGCTCCTCCCACCTCAGCCCCCTGGAGTGCTGGGATCACAGGCGTGCACCGCACACTCAGCTCTCCGTATTCTTTCTGAGTGTGTTGCTAAATGCTAACCTGGGAAATTCTCAGTGGAAAATCTGCCCATGCACCTCATGGTTGTGTCAGCCCTGAATTTTGAGGTATTTGGGGCTTGGATGTTCTTTCTCTGGGGCTGTTCTGTTTGGATCCAGAGGGTGACATGAGGTATCGCTGCAGAGTTTAGACCTAGGCCCTGAGCTGACTCTTCCAAGAGATCTGGCCTCCCTGAGCCAAAGGATGGCTCATTGCGCAGTTAGTTCATGTACTCAGTTTGGGGGCACATTTGTGCCAAGGGAGGAGCTCTGTGGAGAAAATATCAGATGTCTTTCTGCTGTCTGAAGATGTTGCTTCTTCGTTTGATTCTCTGCGGGTTGCAGATTGCAAGATAAATAAGGCAATGGTTTCTATTTTGTAGTGCCTGGGACTGAACCCAGGGCACTGTACATGCTAGGCAAGGGCTCTGCCACTGAGCTACACCCCACCCCGTGTTTAAAAGCAGAATACAATAAGGTTAGTAGGTAAAGGTACTGAGTGAGTGTTATTAAACATCGTTAGTGCTATGATGTGTAAGACAGGGCTGGTCACCCATTCACTGGTTAGACGTTAGAGGTTTTTAAAAGTACAAAAAAAGTTTTCCAAGGAAAACAACTTGCTACCTTTGACCCCTTTTACTCTCTGTCACTCAGGCCCGGGGATGTCAAAACAAGTCATCAGTTTCCGAACATTACAGAACACCTCAAAATCAATCCAGGACACTGAGCCAGCCACGATAGTGCAGCTGAAGACACTCATTAAAAGGGGACTTCCAGGGCCAGGGATGTAGCTCAGTGGCACTGCGCCTGCCTGGCAAACACAAGGTCCTGAGTTCAATCCCTGGTACCCCCCCAAAAAAAGGGAGTGGGCTCCCAGAACTGCTTGAGAAAGTGGCAGGAGTAATGAGAAAAGTGTACTCAAAGTGAGGGGGAGCATAGGGCTGGGTAATTTTACCAGTGGTCCCGCCACCTGCCTCACAAGCGCAAGGTCCTGAGTTCCATCCCTGTACCCCCCCCAAAAAGAGGGGGAGCATTTTGAAGGGAATTAATGTTAACGTGTTTTTCTATAATAAACTTAAATAAAATTAAATATGCACTGCACTTTTCCATCACTCCTTGTATGTATCTGTATATAAAGATATATTCACACTTTCACTCATGCTGGAAGAAGTTGAAGTATTTTCCTATTAGGACAAGGCCAATCTCATTGGTTGGTAGGGCTCTGTGGAGGGCGCCATGTCCTGTGTCTCTAGATCCTAATACAGCTTTTGGGGGAGGTTGGGTATGACTTGAGTTTGGAGGAAAGGGATCAATTTTGTTAGGAGGAGTGAGTCCCAGCGTTCTGTTGAGATTCAGGGGCACTTATAGGCTGTGCCACTTGCAACAACATTGCCAATGGTAAGTCATGCTTGGGACTCTGCATCCCTTCTGACCAAGACAGCATCTGTCCTCTGATGCTCTTCCCAGCTTCCTGTGAAATCGTAGCCAAAGTGAGACGTCGTAAGAGGGAAGTCGGAGTTTTGAGAGCTAGATATTTCTGCCGTAAGACTATGTTGCAAGACACAAAGGTGACATTTAGTAGGCTTCAGAGAATACATCAGCTATATCTTTACTGGGATCTTGTCACTCATGTGAGTTTGTTTTCAGCTGGTCTTGGCATTTTAATGAGCATCTGTGTTATCCAGATACTTGGGCTACTGTGGTTACATTGTTTTTTGTCTTATAACATAATGACACTTTCTGTTCAGTCCCAGAAATCCTGGATTGAAGGAGTGTTCAGTAAGAGAGAATGTAACAAGGTCATACCGAGTTCAAAAGACCCTCACAGGTAAAATTTTCACTAACACTTTGGGTTTTTTTTTTTTAAAGCGATTCTACTCAGAGGGCTGTTTGTAGGAATTTAGAAATATGACTTGTCTAGAAGATTTCGTAGTATCTGTATTATGTTACTATTTGTTAATTTTAATGAGAGTTTTTTTTCCACTTTATCAAAGTACAACATGACTGTAGAAAATCTGGTAGGAGAAGAGACCATGTCAGTGCTGTAACTTCTACCCCAGTACCTCTGCAACAGTTAGTGCCTGTCATGAAGGAGGCTTGTGATAAACACCTGTTCACTGAATCATTGAAGAATACAACAGCCAGGCATGGTGGTATTGTGGTAGATTTCCTTCTCCATGATCCTTAACGGGGCACAGATGTTAGAGGGAAATAATGCATTTTTTCCCTCGCCAAGTCCGGATGAACAATGTGTAGTATCTGGATTTGAATGTCCCACACACTGGGAATGTTCCTTATCCCCAGTTCCAGGATCTATGGAAAACGGTGGCTCTTTGGGACAGTTCAGGTGGCAGTGCTCCGATTACACAAACATGCAATTTTAGCTCCATTTTCCTTCCGGGGCTTTTCACTTAGCAGATAAATGGGCAGCAGACAGAATGGTTTGAGTTTGACTACTCTGAGCTCTTGACAGCACTTTGGAAACTCTACTTATAGAACAAAGTTCAACAAGGCAGCTGGGAAAGATAGGGGAAGAAAGGGCTATGGAAAATTCCCCAGGCAATCAGTTCCATGAAATTAAGATCGGATATCATTGCCCTTGGGGGAAAATTAAAAGGCTAATAGAAAGGCAATATTTTAATGAAGGGAGCTACTCTATTTTTAGAAAGTTTGGAAATCACAGCTATATGCTTAGGAAAGCAACATGGTGAGGTTGTTGAAATTCTAGTTCTTTGAGGATGACTAGTGCTCCTTGCCTGTGTTAAACATTGACAAGTCCCACCCTCCTTGCATTTATGGCGTGTAAGCCCTGAGATTGGAAATTCTCATTTTACCTGTGTACCAACATTTATAGAATGCCAAGGTAACCTTGTTTTTCCCTTCATCTTTTATGATATCTCATAATGAGATGATAGCTGCAGGGGAAAGTAGACTGAGTTCTAAGGGGCTCATTTTGCTTCTGTCAATGGAAAATCATTTCCACAATTACCTTGAACCTAATGAGAAGTAATGAAATTGCTAAGTCTACTGTTAAGCCGTAGGCTATCAAAACCCAAGGAGAATAGCAGTAGGAGGGCTGGGGATGGAGGAGAAGGAGGAGGAGGAGGAGGACGGGGA